TAGTCGTACCATTGAAGTCGGAGTGCAATTGGGGAAAAGAATAACAGAAAGGTTAGCCAGATACCCCCACCCCCAATTGGGGTAAGGGGGGCAATCAGGGGCAGGGCCTGCCAGGGGTACGGGCTGCGGGCCAATGGGGGAGGTGGGGGCCCATCGGGGGTGGAGCCAGCCAGGGGGAGGGGCTGCAGGAGGTTGGCTGGCTGGCTCTGGCCACTATTGGGGTTGGGGGGGCGATCAGGGGTGGGGCCAGCCGGGGGGAGGGGCTGCGGGAGGTTGGCCAGCCGGCCCCACCCCCGGATCAGGCCGGTTCGCTGGCCACAGTGGGCATCATAGCAACCGGTCATTCTGGCGTTACAGTCACTGGCTTTTTATACAGACTAGAGGCTCGGTGCACGGAGTCATGTAAAAGTGGGGTCTCTCAACCTGGCCTGCACCCTCTCACAATCTGGAACCTCTCGGAGGATGTTGGAGAACTGGTTTCAGCCCGATCAGCCAGGCGAGGGACCCCACAGGTGCACGAATCCATGCACCAGGCCTCTAGTATGCATATAAGATCTTTGGTGGCCCTAGCTGATTTGGCTCAGTGGATAGAGAATCAGCCTGCGGACTGAAGGGTCCCAGGTTCGATTGTGGTCAAGGGTACATGCCTGGGTTGCGGGCTTGTTCCCCAATAGGAGGTGTACTGAAGGCAGCCAATCAATGATTCTCTCTCATCATTAATGTTTCTATCTCTCTCTCCTTCTTCCTTCCTGTCTGAAATCAATAAAAATGTGTTAAAAAAAAAAAAAAAGATATTTGGTTAATCTCTTCCTGCCCTCCCCTCTCCCCCCTTCTCTCTGAGATTCATCAGTCTGTTCCATGTTTCCATGCCTATGGTTTCCGCTCCTGTGTTGAGCGTCTGCCCCCTGGTGGTCAGTGCACATCATAGCTACCAGATGGTCAGCCGGTCAGCTGGTCGCTTAGGCATATATATATATATATATATATATATATATATATATACACATACACATACACACACACACACACACACACATATAAAGGAAGCAGAGACATGTTACCAGTTAAAACTTGGGAGGGATTCAAGTTGTTCCTTGATATATGGATTAGTGAAACAGAAGGATATTTAGAAAAGGATTACTGGTATTAAGACACCAAAATAGAACTAGGAAGAAAATGGCCGAGGTATAGACGGACGTGTCCCGTGCCTTGTCCCGGAGCAGATAAGGGTGAGCAGCTGAAACGGGTAACATACAGCCCGAATAAGCAGAAGATATTCAGCTGGGAGACATTTTGCAGCCGGGAAAGATAGAGGACTCCCGGAGAAAGGGCACGGTTGGAGACTGCGGCTGAAATCTCTCCCGGAGCGCCGGCTCAGCCCCAGAGACCACACCATCTTGAGTGACTGTTATTGGAAGTGTATTCATCCAAAGACCCGGCATCCACAGCATCCAGAGATCGGCTACTAACCCGGAAACAACGGATCTCAAGCAGCGCAACTACGTGGACTTAGAGGAACCCTGCTTCTCCTCACGAAAAGGTCAGATTTCCCCTAAAGGTGCGGTTTGCAATTCAGGTTGGAGAGAGGAACGCGCACTGGGGAAATCTGCGCCCCACAAAGTCTGCGGCCGTTGGGGCCAGTGTGATCCGCGAGTGTGGAAGGGCTCCCGCAGGGCTGCTGGCAGAAGGGAACGCTAAAAATAAGCCCATAGCTGGACTGGATGCAAAAAAGCAGCCTCAGATTTTGCCAGTGTGCCGGCTGCTTAGTGCCAGGGGAGAGAGGACGCGCGGAAGAGACTGCGCACAGAGCTGGAAGGTGGAGGGTTGCGAATTCTCGCAACTTCTCAAGCTCTTGTTATTTTTCTTCCCCTTAAATCTTTGCGTTTGATTATTAAACCCAGTGCATGGGATTGCCCAGTTGGGGTCACTCACAGAGACTGCAGGCAAAAGTTGTTTTTGTGGAACCTGGGAAACAGAGCGGGGAGTAACGATTAAAGAACAGGCTCTAGGGCAGTCGACTCTCACAAACCAGTCTTAAGTGCGATAGGGAAAATAAACCCTAACTGCTGGACAGAGAGGACTTATAGCCTCAGAGGTCAATCCAGAAACAATGCCACCCAGGGGCTGATCCACGAACTGACTCTTCTGTAAACACAAATAAAGGCAGTCTGGGAAACAAATACGGACTGCCTTAAAATCAGGACTGTGGTTTACAACACAGAGGAACAGTGTATCACAGGGAAATTCAACACTCTCCTGAATACCTGGCAGGACTAAGGCGTGCCAAAAAGAAGAGTAGAGGAACTAAAGCACCTTCACTACTGCACATTTTTATTTTTTTTTAATTCTTTTTTCACCTTTTAATTAAGAAACTATTTTTTTATTTTTTTTCATCACCTGATTTTACCTTTTTAATTACTACATTTTTATTTTTAACCAGTATTATTACTACTACCATTTTACCATTTTTTAAAGTGTCATTTTACTTTCTCTTTATTTTATTTTGGGATTAGTGTTCTACATTCTATTTTCATCGTTCCTTTAGCATCATTTTTCTCTACCTCAACTTTACCTTTATGCCAAAACTCTCTTCCTCACTTTTCCCCTTTTGTTGTCCTGTTTCTCTTACCCTATTCCAGCTTTAGATTTTCCCTATTCCTTCTTTTTACCCCCTGTCTAAATTTCACCCTACTTATATATCTAATTTCCAATCCCCTGCTCTAAATCCATATACACCTCTCTTATCGTTCTTCACTATCCAAATTTTTTTTTTCTCTCTGTCGTTTTGCTATTGTTTGCTTGATTGTTGAGTATATTGGGGTTTTTTATGCTTGTTTGTGAGATTGTTTTGCTTTTGCTTTTTATTTTTTTGTTGGTTTTTTTTTCTCCGGTTATTTTTGTGCTTCCATTTTCCTTCGCCTTGCTTGATATTAGTGGTTGTTTTTAGTTTGCATTCATCTCCAGGGATCTGTTGCTGGAATTGGTTGGGATTAGTGGCAGTTCTATTGGAGTTTTCTCTCCATATAAATAGTCTCTTCCCCTCTTCTATTTCATTCTCTCTCTTTTCTCTCTTACTTTTTTTTCTCCCTTTTCCCAATTTCATTTTTGCACTCCTATTTTTTCTTTTTGTCTTTTATCTGTTTCTCTTCTTTCTTCTTTATCCCCTAATTCTCTTTGCTCGGGTGGTCACCTTTATTTGGGGTTATTAATATCGTGAATACATTTGTGTCCAGTGCCTTGTATGTTGTGCCTTGTTGTGTTGTATTTTGTGCCTTTAAATCAATGCAGCGGAGAAAGAACTACATAACCAAACACCTGAAGAAGAGAGATCATGGTGAGACAAAGAGACAGCCCACATATGAAAGAAAAACAGGCATCACCAGAAAAAAAAGTAAATGAAATGGAGGCAATGGAGGCAAGCAACCTGTCAGAGAAAGAATTCAGAGAAATGGCCATAAGGTGGATGAAAAGAATGGAAGACAAATTCAACAATATGCGTAAGAACCAAGGGGAAATGAAGAAAAACCAAGAAGAAATGAAAAATGACATCACTGCTATAAAGAACTCAATAGAAAGCATCAACAGTAGACTAGAAGAAGCAGAGGACTGCATCAGTGAGCTAGTAGACAAGGTAGGAAAAAATAACCAAGCAGAGCAGCTTCTAGAAAAAAAAATTAAAAAGCAGGAGGAGAGCCTAAGAGAACTCTGGGACAACACGAAACGAAAGAACATCCGAATAATAGGGGAGCCAGAAGGAGAGGAAACTGAGCAAGGGAAAGAAAACCTGTTTGAAAATATAATGACAGAAAACTTTCCTGATATAGGGAAGAAAAAACTCACACAAATCCAAGAAGCTGACAGAGTCCCAAACAAAATGAACCCCAAAAGACCGACGCCAAGGCACATTATAATTAAACTGGCAAACACCAATGACAAAACAAGAATCTTAAAAGCAGCCAGAG